GCCAAACCATCCTAGCCTTCATCGGTTCTGGGAAAGCAATCTTCAGAGTGGGGAAAAAAAATTGAAAAATAATATACTGTGTGTTGCTTTCCACCCTTGCCCAGAGAGTGAGAATCACCTCTGAAGGTGGAGGAAGAAAGTTGGAGGTGCGGGGCACAGTCTTTTCTCCTTTTGCTACTGAAAAAAAATGATTGCTTTTGTAATTAGTGATGATGCCCTTTAAATTGGTGAGATCAAGATTCCAAATCTTCAGCGCCTGTGAATAACCAGCCGGGAGAAAGTTCTCCAGGGCCCCTGCAGTGGGAAAGGCAGCCCCTCTGAACACCTGTTGTTCTGTATTCTTCCTGCCTTCACACGGGTTCGCAAGGCACCTTGCAGAACGATGCAGTTACCCGAGGTGGAGGACAGGGAGACCCCTGCTGGGTGGCGAGCCACAGGAGCCCACACTTGAAGGACAAAGTGAAGAATAGTGGGGCGGGCGTAGAAACAGAGGATGGTTGAGATCCAGGATGGTGTCCTGGAGTCCAGAAGGCGAGGCTGGTGGGGCAGATGGGGCCCTGGTGCATGGGCAGTCCTTGAGAGATCTGAAGCAAAGATATGAATCAAGAGACTGGATTCGTGTGGGGGTACAGCGCCCCCTGGAGGCCGCTGGGCAGTGCAGCGAGCCCAGGAGGAGCGGGCACTTCCCCATAGTTGGATTGACAGGTCACAACCAACTCATTGGGAACCGAGAGGTACCGAGATACTGTTAACTTTTTCTCTCTCTTCCTGGAAAAGAAACTGCTTTCTGTTGAATAGCCTGTGTCGTTAGTGAGAATTAAAGACATGAAGCAACATTTCCTCAAAAGTCATCCATTGTGCAGTTGTTAATAAGGGTCAAATGCAAACTTGAATAGATGAAATGAAACATTCATCAGAGGATTTTAAAATCCTTTAAAATAAAAATTCTTGCTGTCTTTTTCATTTCAGGGTTCACCTGGTGATAATAATAGTAACCAAAGCAACAGCAAACCCTTACAGAACTCTGTCCTGCTGTTCCAGGAACTCTGTGTTCACGACAACCCAATGAGGTGGCACTTTACAGGAAGGACAGTCATTAATCACACAGCTAGTAAATGGCAGAGCTGGGACTTGAACCCAAGCTGTCTGGCCCCAGAGCCCCCTCTCAGGCCCTTCACTGCAGCTCATCACTTGGCATGCCCGACACAGGCCAGCATTAAGGAGCAGCGTGACCTTGGCCAAGGCTGCTTCACTGCTTGGTCTCTGTTTCCTCATCTGTAGAATGGGGATGTGGGCAGTGAACTCTGTGAGCTCAGTGGTAACTTCCTCCAGCTCTGCTATTCTACTGCTTTGAGTTAATTTAGTAAGTATCAGAGCCTCTGAATGGCCCACCCATAGGCTGGTGCTTTGCTAGGCCTTGGGTTACGGAGAAAAGTAAGATCAGCCTGCTTCCCCAAGGAGCCTGTGTCCCTCCACGGCAAACAGCTGTGAGACCCAGGCTCCCTCACGGGCGGTTGGGGGCTGGGCAGGAAAGTCTGATAGAAGATGGAGGCAGAACCCCTCTGGGAACAGTGGTGGCCACACAGCTCTCAGGAGCGGGAGTGTCTGTCCAGGCTGCTGAGAGGGGGGTCCTCATGAGGCGAGTAGGCCCCCCAAACTAAGCCCTCAGGACAAAGATTCAGCCATCCCTGCAGTGTAACCATAGAGCCAGTCCATCCTCATCACTGTGCCTCTGTGCTCCTTTGTCCTGGGGACTCTCTTCCCCCTACACCCAGAAGACTTTTCTCCCTCTCTTCTCTGAATGTCCCCTCACTTCACCTGTGATCTCTGCTTCCTGGGCAACCATCTCTGGAGTTGACGCTTTGCCCACTCACATCCCCCGTTTGATCAGGAGCCTGGGTTGGCCTCCTTGTGCTCACTTTTCACTTTCAGATCATTGCTCCTCCTCTCTTGGGAGCACCTGGAAAACCCAGATCCACTCCTAGCAGTGCCTGCCACCCTGGCCTCCCTGCCCATCTGCCTCAGTTAGGAGCACCTGGACCACTAGCTCTGTAATGCCTCACCTTCTACCATCAAGACGTCAAAGTTCATTCTCCCTCCACCACCCAGTATGGTCACTTTAGGGTCTTCTACTCCATCAGCCTGAGCCAGCCACCCCCATTCACCCTACCCCCGGGCTCATACCCGGCCATGCCTCCACCCCAGGTCCATGCATCCTCCTTTAAGTTCCCTATGCTAGCCATACAGCTCCTTCTCCACCAATCTCCCTGGCCCTCCTTCACCCTCACTGGGGCATCATGCCCTGACACCTCTGCTTTCCTGCCTGTCCACATTCCTCTTACTTCCACTTCCCCACCTTCCAGCTCTGCATCCAAGTCAGCACTCTCTTTATGACAAACAAAACTCCCTTGACCCTTGACCTTTTCAGTTCCTCACCAGGACGACTTCCATCTCAGTTCACCCAGCTCTATTTGTTCTGAGCCTGCAGGTAGCAGGCTCTCCCAGCACAGATTTCTAAGACTACAAATCAATGCCCACCATGTTGCCACTGCCAGGCAATCCTCCAGGATTTTTCTAGTGAGCACATTTCCCCACTTATCACTCAGTCGTGTCAACATTCTCTTCTCTCTGCACACATCTAACCTTCCCTCTGTCTTTTCCCTGACTCCCAGCAGATGGCCTTGCCTCCTGCTTCAGAGAGAATGACATGTTACTGGAAAGAAACTCAGTCACCTGCAGCAAACCTGCTCATCTCACCTTTTATCTGTCCCTGTCCCACCTGGACTCTAGCTGTAGTTGTTCTCTATTTAGTGAGTTTAGTTGACATATATATACATAGTTAAAAGCATATCACACTATAGGCTACCTTCTAGGGCTTACTTTTTCAATTTAACATAGAGTGTATGATTCATCCACTTCGTTGCATATACCTGCAGTTCACTTGTTTTAACTGATCTTAAATGTTGTGTGTGTGTGAAAGTAACACAAGACAAGGGTAAGCCAGGATTCACGATGCTGATTACTTCCTGTGAGAAGAGGCCAAAAGCAAGATAGGACACAGAATTTCACTGTCAATAGTCCTGTTCCGATGCTGGGAGATAGGTTCACAACTGTTTCTTATAATATTAATTTTAATACATAAATACCTCTGACAGGCACCTAAAGGGAGAATGTGTCATCAACGAAGACATGCCATGGGTAATATTACATCATTATTGTTATGTAATCTTGTTATAAAATATATTAATCATAATCCTACATTGTTATGTGTTATATATTATATAGATGCATGAATTATACATTACGTATATAAATACCTACATATGTATTATATACTATCTGATAATAAATAAATAGAACTTTATATGCTAGTATATCTAATATTATGTATTATTTAATAAATAATAACATACTCTATCCTGTTATATGACATGGCACATAATCTTTAATCAAATAAAAATAAGTCACTATATGTAATGATAATTAATAAAATTAAATGAAAAAGCCAGCAGCTTTTAATGCTGACACCACTTCAGCTGTCACTGTCTTTTCTCTTCCCTTTCATGGCCGAGGTGCTCACAGTGCTATCCATTCCCCCTTTCATCTCCTTATACTGAACCTTCCTCCTCCTCCCATCCCATGCTGCCTTCTGCCCCGTGGCCCCTCTAGTCACCAGCGGCCTCTGTGGCACTGATTTGCGGGCTCGGTCTCAGGCCCCAGCTCACCTGCCTGTCCGCTGACTCTGTCACCGCTGGTGGGGGCAGGGCAGGGGCAGAGTGTACCTCTTGTCCTGGAAGAGGACACAGCACAGACTCAGTGACCAGCATCAGGTGTGGCCGGTACCTGCAGGACTGAGGGGAGAGCCAGGCTTTCTGCATCCAGACCTGGGGCACTTGGAGTGTGAAGAAGCCCAGTCCTTACTGCCCCTGAAGTGAGGAAAACACCCTCAGGTGAGTTAAAGTGCTTATGACCTAGGTCTGTTGGCTGGAATGGACAAACGGGCCCCTAAGGGGAGGGTAGTTGATTTTCCAGGCTCCACCAAGGCCCTAAGGGCTGGCGGGGAACCAGGTTGGACGCTCCACTGGACCCAGTGCTCCCTCGGGGGTGGGGCCTTCGGGAACAAACAGAAAGCCCTCGGTCTCTGGGGGGAACTGGGCAGTGTGGGAGCATCCCTGGAGCAAGTCAAGTGACGTCAGGGCTTGTGGGATCCATTTTCATGGCCACATCGAGCCTCAGCAGAAGCCATAGCAAAAGTGGATTCCTTTCTCTCAGCGTTCATCCTCGTGTCTGAGTGCCAGGCTTCAGACCCGGTCCCCTGGGGCACAAGGACAGTTATAGACAGAGGCAGCTCAGGGAGGCCTCAAGAGGGCGGTACTGGCCTTCCTGCCGACACGATTACACGAAGATCAAACAATCCATCGATGGGAAGAAAATAAGAACCATGGTCACATCTGGACCCCAAGCTTAGACGTGGTGTATGGGTGACATTTATCGACAATCCAGCGAGGCTCTGGCCAGAGCTAGAGGCCAGGGCAGCAAGACGGGAGTGGCACTAAGGAGCATCGTGGTGCAGAGGCTGGGCTGGGGGTCTGCAGGCTTCTCCCAGGAGGAGCTTCAGTGTTTGGGAGTTGGCTAACATGCCTCCTTCGTGTCACCAGCAAGTGATGCCACCTGTGGAAAATCACCTATAATCCTGAGCCGGGTCAGCCCTGGGTGATGTGATAAAAGCTTCTACAAGAGGAGGCTCCAGACGGATAGTGAACCAACTAACAGGCTGATGAGTTTCTTGCCTGTGTTTATCGTGATTTCATAGCCAAGAATGAGGAGAGAGGTGAATGGCTCACCATGAAGATTTTAACAACTTAAGAGTGTTCTGTGTCTCACTGCATTTCAGTGTCACCCGGAGGAATTCAGGAGATGTTTAGACCCAGTGGAGACTAACGGCCTCTTGGTTCCTCATCAAACTGGGAAACCCACCAGCCCTCTATGGCCAGACCTTGGCAAGTGCCTTCTGTTGTTCTAACAAAACCCTCTCCACCCATGCCTGTGGTAAGATTTTATTTTCTTTTTAATTAATGGGAATGAAGATACCTTACATCCTCTTCAGACTTTCCTTAGGGCTTCTACCCTTAGACCCCAGCAAGGGGGCCCGCTACCCTGGGTCCTGCACTACAGAGGGCTCCTCTGGCCCTGACACTTCCTCTGGCCACACCCTCCATGGAGTGGAGTCAGCAGGGCCAAGGGGACACGGTCATTGGCTCCATCCCGTGCTCTAGAAACCCAGGACCCCAGATGCCCTGTCTCAGCAGCCCCTGACCCATTTCTAGTGCCTGCACTGGCTCTCCCCAGAGTTCAGATTCCTAGTTCAGATTCACAGAGAGGCCAAAGGGCAGCTGTTTGCATGGAGGGTATGAGCAGAGCCAGGACGTGATGTCTGAGTGTCCCCCTCTGCAAATCCGATTCCCCTTGTGGCAAGGGATGGACCTAGCATTGGGAAGAAAAGGGTCAGACTTGTGATCAGAGACTGGGAATCAGCTCTCCCCACACGCTCACTTTCTTTGCCGGACTCCCCTGTGTCTGGGAATTCTAAATTTGAACCTGGCCTTCCCCCTTATAATGAATGTATATTTGTAAAGGCAGGAATTTACAACCTACTGCACTTAACATGTTTACATGTATTGGATGTGAGCTCCCAGGTATGCTCTGGCCCTGCACTTCCAAAGGTCCAGAGCAGTTATGTTGGCTCTACTGAGACTGTAAGAGGTAAAGACCATCTCCAGAGAGGAGGGGCTCCTGCTTCACGCTCCAAAGTCAGGATCTTCTGAGTGGATAAAACAATGGACATTGTGACCCTCAATTGTAAATTGATTTAGAATAACGCCAAAGTGTGTATGACGTGTGTGTTTGCACGCACGCACCTGGGGACGTGTGTGGTACATGACTGTGACTGTGTGTGTGTGTGTGTGCACACATGCCTGGGGATGTTTGTGGTTCTGTATGTTATGTGTTTTTGTTCACCTGAGGATTTGTGTGGTTGTGTGTATGGTATGTGTGTGTGTGGTACATGACTCCATGTGTGTGTGCACGTGGGGATGTATGTGGAGCAGAGCCAGTGTGTCTGCACCTGTGTTTGTGTGTATGTGCATGCATTAGTTTTAATAGTAGAAGCTGTCCTTTAGAATTATGAAGTAGTAAAAATTGTATGATGTCCCTTGCTGTATAATTCAAAGTTAAAATAATCTTCAATCACCAGAAATTTAGTCCCACTCAGATTCTGATTTTTTTTTCCATATTGATTATGTCTTCATTTTACTGATGAGGAAACTGTAGCTTAGAGATTTTAACTGACTCAACCAAGGGCATGAAACTCACGAACCCAGGAACAGGACACAGTCCAAGCCGCGCTGCTCCAGAGGCCTGAAGCCCTGCTCACGATCACGTGTGGCCTCTTGGCGGGGGAACAGATTCTGATGGGCTGTGGCCAGCGTGAAGGCTGCCCAAGCCGGGGACTCGGGAAGCTGGGTGGAGAGTACCAGACAGCAGACAAGGGTGAAGGGCTGCTCAGAAGTCAGAAAGATTCCTACGTCTTGGATGAGGAAGGAGGCTCACTGCTCATCCTTGATCCCTTTGATGGTGGCTAAAAGGGACAAAGGCCCACGAGAGCACTTCTGAGAGCTGCCTGCCAAAACCTGGAAATGGACTGCTCAGGACTGGCTCTGCAGTAGGAGCAGAGGAAGGGAATGTCTCCTCCTGGTGGACATCCTAGGTGATGGCAGTAGGAGGCCTAGAAGCCTTGGTATAGAGGTGGCAGGACAAGGTCCTAGTGGATGATCGCTTTCACGTGTCTTAAAAATCATTGCTTCATATATTGTATCCATTTTGTGGTTTATTTTAGGATGGCAAATATGGTCTCTGTTACTCCGTATTACCTGGGTTGATTATTTTTTCTATTGTTAATTTTCTCTTCAGTGATTTGGAAGCTATATAGCCTCTTAATGAAAATTCTCTCTAAGTTTTTATAAATCATCTCTAAGTTCATAACTCTATATGCAATTGGACCAGTATTCTTATAAGAGTCTCAAAAATGTAATAATCTATAAGGTCCTGTTCCTCAATAATGATAAATTTAGCATATTTTACCTCTCT